ATAGAGTTGCATTTTTAAAATCTGCAAAAATTACAAAATTTTAATTTGATTTCTAAGCTCACTTTTTTCATTATTTCATGTTATATATTGTTGCACAATTTAATTTTAAATTAATATGTAGGTGAAGAAACATCACGAAATCAAAGTTTATAGTAATTTTATATGTTTTTTTATAATTTTATATATATAAAAATTTACAAGCAAAATAGTATAACAAATCGTGCAACTGATACTTAAAATATCTTTAGACACAAGATTGATACAATGAGCAATACAGTTTAAGTTTAAAATTTTGGGATATTTTTCATGGATAGTTTGCCATGTAAGCTTCATGTTACTTGTATTGTCTGTAACAATTGCTGTAAATCTATCATGCCCAACTTCTTCTAAAATTGAATTAATTTTTTCTACAAAAAATTCAGCTGTATGTGAATTTGCAGAAAAATCATGTAATGAATATAAAATTTTGTTGTGCATAGGTGTTAAAATAATGAAGTTATATATAGAGTTTCCATTGGGTGAAGTCTATCTATCTAGTGCTATATATATATAAAAATATAATTAATAATAAATAATATAATTATATATTTAAAATATTAAATATAACTACTCAAAGTTAGATTTTTTGATTCACAAAAGATAGATTTATGCTTAACTATAACTTTAGCATATTCTTGATCTAATAAACGCCCAGCTAGAACTTCCCATGATAGTGGTTGATAGTTTGTGCATAAATTTTGAAGTAAATCAATGAAAAATAGATTTTCAACTATAAAAAATGAAATACCACAGACTATAAATGTCTTTAATAATGAAATATTTATAAAATTTATTCGTTCTTCAGATATGATTTAGTTAAATTTTCAGGTGACTCTTCTTCATTATTACGACTGGCTATACATAGTAAATATATGATTGCCGAATATAATCTTTAACATAAGGGCACTATAATGCAAGATGAGCTTCAAGCTTTAACCGTTCACCTCTTGCCCATTTAGTTGAACAAAAGAACACTTTGCTAAGTAATGTCTATGTAAGTTTGTTTTTTCATAGTGAAAATATTCCCATACTGGTGCTAATACATATCCTTCAGAGTTTATTCTATTTGATGTATTTGATTCAGAAGTATTAGCTGATAATAAAATAGAAGTACTAGTTGCTAATAAAGCAGAAGCTGAAGCCAAAGAGTCTGGTGATTCTACTCTTTCAAATGTATATGATGAACGTCCAGATACTTTGGATTTTCGTTTGTATGATGTCATTTTTATTTTTTATTTTTTTGATACACGATAGAAAACAAAAATGCCACGAATTGAGGTATTTATATATTTTTTTTTTATGATCATAATTAGAATAGCCCAGAAATTTTGTTGTTTATATTTGTTTGCTTGATAGTATTACACAGCTTCCAAAAAAGATAATAATTTTGGATTTTTTTTTTTCATAACAAAGGTATATTACAGTACGCATTTAAGGTATTTATAGTTTTTTTTTTATAATCGTAAAATTGAGTAATTGTTGTTTGATGGTATTACACACTTCCAAAAAAAGGATATGGGTTACTGTACGATAATTTGAAATAAAAACCCATTTACTAATGATAAAAAAATTTTTTGCATTGAATCAAGATTGAATTTGTAATACGTATAAGAAATAATGCCAAAATTATTGGACCAGACCTAATTTTCAACTGCTTGAACATTAATTGTATTACTTTTAACTGACATAAATATATTTCAGAAAATATGTAAAAAATTTATATTTGTAACATCAAGGATTATCGCAAAGAGAATAGACAAGTTAGTCATCTATTTATACTTCAAAAAATTACATCATAATTACAGGTTCTATTGTATTACAAGTATTAATAATGATGCATAAAAATGATGTAACTATATTTGTTGCCAAAAATTTTATAATTTTACATTATTTATGCAGTTAAAATACTTTCAAATTATACATAATAAAAAATGCACTGGTAAAATTATAAAATTCACTATGTTGAATAGTGAATTTTAAATTTTACAAGAAAAATTTAAAAATATACACATACTACATAATGTAAATAGAATTTTACAACAAATCAGATATGTTAGAATATTTTTATTTTATTAAAATAAATCGTATAGCAGATAACATTACTGTATTAATACTGATTAGCCCTATATTATATGATATTTATCATTCGTCATAGGTTTCGTCAATCGTCACAAGTTTTATTAATTGTCAATTCATCAATTAGAAGTTGCCTGACGAAATAGTTTTGTATTTGTCAATGACAAATGTTTCGTCATTCGTCAAGCATCTTTAATTCAGAGTCTGACAGCAATGTTGATGATGATGATGACGAGACCTGGTATCCTTGTAATGATGTAATTCCAAAAGAATGGTTGGGCCTGAATGACTATGAAATAGTCGAATTTGAGCTAAAGGAAAAAAAAATAAGGAAAACAATCTCGGTAAAGAACTTGTTAATAATAACAAGACTGGTGAAAATATTGAAACCCCTAATAAAGAGGTTCAAACAAAACGAAAAAATTATTAACAAAGTGTAATTAGAGTTGAACAAGATAAATATCGGGCACCTACTAAATATCAGAAATCAATAAAGATAGACAAAACTAGTCGAAAGCATAATATCAATCAAGATAGTGTAAGAAGCGAAAATGATAAATCGAAACCAAAAGTATATATAGGGCCCAAACATCTTGGAAAAGCTAAAAATGATCAGAAAATCAAGACCTCAATTAGATGAAAAAGAAAAATAACTAATGATTTGGTTGGACCTAAAGTCACCTCATTTTACCTTGGTATCAACCTGCTGCTACTTATGCTAATAGTAACCAAGAGCATTTTTGAGGATGAATATAAGGCATTCAATTACTATCAAAAATCTGCTAAGATGGGAAATGATAGTGCGATATATGGCTTTAGCATTTATATAAAAATGGAGTTGATATTAAAAAGAGTAATCATATGACTTTTTGTCAAAAATTTGCTAATATAAGATACTCTCATGGAATGCTTGAGGCTGGTAACCACTACATGTTAGAAAGTGGAGTTAGACAATATAAAAACGTAGTATTTACATATTACCAAAAATCAGCAGAAATGAATAATTCTAACAGAATCTATCAAGTTGGCTATAACTTCAAAATTGGCATCGAAAGTGATAAGCATAGAATGGTTAAATATTTTCTGAAGTTTGCTAATATGGGTAATAAACCAGCCATGTATATTATTGCTTTATATTCTCAAAATGGTATCGGTATAAAAAGATATATTCCAAAGACAAATTATTGTACTGAAAAATATGGAAGCCTCTTGAAGACTAATAAATCACCACATAATATCGCTCTTGAATTCAAGAGAATATTAGATGATGAAGGATTTAAATCATCTTGGATTGATTATAAGGTGTTTAAAGAAATTCGTAATTCAACCAAAAATGAGCAAGAATCTATTCAAGAATTGAAAAATTACGAATAAGAAAAAGAAATCAAATAAGTATTAAACTCATAGCTGAGATTTTTTGAAATTATAATCACATGATGCGACAAACTGATTGAAGAACAAAACACAAAAAGTAATTGGTAAAATACCTGTTATACAATAGAACGAGAATATCAACCCAGATTGAAGCTAAGAAAAAGAAAATTCAAACAAGAAAATGGACATGATGAAATTAGATATGGTAGGTCATGACAGTTATTGTGCGGGTGTGGGGCATATAACAGCAAGTAAAAACCTGAAGAAAAGAAGAATCAATTAATATGAGAAGAATGGGACAGCAAGAAGGAAGAAAATGTCTGCATTACCCGCTAGATAAGACTTAAGAGAAGCCCCAGAGGAATGTCAAAGTGTATCTATAAAAGAATCTTAAGAACAGTATTGGACATTATTATCAAAATGGAATTGGTATTGAAAAAGATAACATCGGCTAAGAAAGAAAAGGCCTACCTGAAGTAAAAAAATCTGACAGTAATTCCAATCCAGCCTAGGTAGTTGGTGGCCTAGCATAGTCATGAAGTTATTCTCATCCATACAATTTATGTTTATTATTATTATTATTATTTTTTTTTTGGTTTCAACGGTAACCACTTTATTACGTCTGAACAGTTAAGTATATTACAAGGTAGTACAGAGTCTAGTCTATATATTTCTATATATCCTGGGTCCCTCCCCCCGCGGTGTTGCAGTTCCCAGATCTAGTACCCCCCATTTGTGCGTAAAGCATCACACGGCTGCTTAAAGGTGCCCATGTATAACCATCTAGCAATGTTTTACCTTTTCTCCGAATCAACAATAAGACATGCTCGCCTATTTGCTGGGGCACCTGTCCCACTTATGTGGCTCACCCAGACTTCGGTAATTTTACGCCACAGCTTAACCTATGCACTTGGGGTCAGGGCTAACTATTGAACCCCTTGTAACCAACTTTAGTACCTGTTATGCTGCCAACACCAGATTCATATCTCAAGCCATCTTTTAGGATGCTGCCGTAACCCAGTCCGTATTTCAAGCCACAACCTTTTCAAGTTAGTTGACTATTACCTACTTCTTGCCCTTATTAAAGTTTACAACAACCCCAATACCCACATTTGGTACCGTCTTCTTACCCGGATTCTTTATCGATCCCTCAATTACTTCCAGTCGGCAACCCGGAAGGGTTGGTCTGCCCAGGCCTTAGGTACCTAAAGGACGCCCTCCTCTTGGTACATACTTTCGAAGTGTATGCCCTTTTTCTCCAGTGCAACAGAACCCGGCGGTTCAGCTAGTATGTTCTTCGCCATTAGGACCTGGTCGTTCGGTTCTCCGATCTTGGGCTCCGGTTCGAATTCAGCTCTCATGTAGTACCATTGTAGATCATTGCTATTTCTTAGCTCGGGACTTCCCAAATAAGGTTTGAGTTATTCCGGTTTCTTGGCTTTATTGTGCCATTGCTTCCATTACTAGATAGTATAACTGAAGTTACAGATTTATCTAAGATCCAACTGATAATCATAACCATCAACTATAACGCAAGCCTATTTTTCAAAATTCGTCATCCGTAGGATTTGAACTCTAGACCTGCCACTTGGAGAGGGTGACGACTAGACTACTACACTAAGTCACCACACCTCTTTTATATTTATTATTTTATTCTGTATTATTTATTTTATTTTATTTTATTTATATTTTTTTTAAATTTTTTTCTCTTTCTTCTAACTTTCCTTGATTCTTGGTGTTCTCATAAAACTCAAACTTAAGTTGAGGAGTGTGTAAACGGGTAAATCATGGCTTGGAATAATTTTTTCTGTAAATAGTAAATTAGATGCATATATACTAGTATGCGGCACAGTTATTTTGTTCAATTTTGTACAAAGGCAGTCGTTCAATTTTGTATGAAGGCATTCATACAATTTTGTACGATTCTGCTCAACTTCGTTCAAATTCGTACAATTAATATATTTTTGAATAGAGAACATAGTAAAAGTAGTTTAAATAGCAAACACAGTCCTCATGTACGCAGTAGTAGTCTAAAAGTATATAAGACCAATCTTTTCACTTCAATAAAGAGAACTAAGTTAGGGTTGGCAAAACTTAGTAAGAGTTTGTAAAACTCATTCGAGTTCAACTCATAGTAAGTTTAGTATTCTGACTTCAAAATTTCGGTCCAATTACTCTCCCCCAATAAAATCAAATTTGTATAAAGTTAGTAGTATAAACCTGTGATCCCAAATTAGAGTCTCATAACATAATCCAGAGCTCTATTTAACTCCAATAACTTGGACCAAGTCTTACCACGCCTTGATCGTAGGCTGCCATATTAGGGTTTAGGTAGTTTTAGAGTAGTGTTTAGATTAGTGTTAGTGTTGATTGGTATCTGTATTGCCTATATTTTCTGAGCTTGGATCAGTTTCCACACTCACAATGTATGTATATATGTACTTTAAAAATAAAACAGATCCAATCATGAGTTTTGGTGATGTACATACGAAGTTCTTTTTCTCAGATGAATGCATTATATGATTAATTATTTACTTATTTATTATTTGCTCCTCTCTTTTTAATAGGAATGTAATGTTAAATATTTGAGAATTGATGTCTTGGATATCTTATCTGGATATTACCCAAGTATATCTACCTGAGTATTATTATCCGGATAGATCTACCCGAGTATTATTCGGGTATTACTCAGATATGTTTATCCGGGTAGCCGTAATTACAACCTAGATATCTGACTATTTACAGGTAAACTGGTTAATACCCGACCTGGGTCCAATGTCTAGTGTTGACTATAGTTAATATCAAAATAGAGGCTGTGGCTAAAACTTTGAGTGAAATATTATAGCAATTATTTGACCAAATTCAATGAAATTTTTTTATTTGAATTCTATAGACCTATCGAATTCATATAATATTTTTTTTTTTTTTTTTTCAGTAGTTGGTAAGTTATCTTTGCTCAAAATTTTTAAAAAATAGCTAAATTTTTATTAAGGTCATTCAAAGTTGATTCTTCAGTTAATATTATTTCTCTCTCTGCTAAAGTTTCCTTCCAATAAATGAATAACTAATTAAAATGCTAAATGTTTAAATGATTTGTGTGTTGTCAATAGAAAACCTATAATCAGGCTTTCAAGTATATTTTGTGTACAGTTGGTTATCTATGTGCTGTCTATAGTAAATCTATATCTGATAAAAGATTTATATATACAGCACACAGATAACCAACTATATACTTGAAAGCACGATTGTAGATTTTTTCTTAATGGCACCTATTTACTTTAACAGAAATTAGATATCTAAAAAGACATCATAATGAAAATTGTGTTTGCAAATATATTAATAGTTATTATGATGGGTTTTAATTAGCTGCAGAAAAACTTTGATTCCATTATTGAGTACATTATATTTGATATAGTAGCTTGTACTTTTTTACCAAAAATTTGAAATTTTATATATCTAAATAACTTTTGAAACTTAATCTATTTGAGGGTATTACTTCACTTATATTTTTGCTTTATTATATTCTTAACACTTATTTTCTTATTATTTATTAAGTACAAAATAAATTTTTATATAATAGAACATATTTGAAAGGTATATACAACTGAAAGTAAACTAAAGGTATATAGATTTTGTAACTTAATTTAATAGTTTTCAATCAGTTAGATTATTTGTATATATAGGGGAAGTCAATAAAAAAGGAAAAAATCATTTTTAGTAAAGTTTTTTTAATTTTTAAATTAAAATATCTCAAAAACTAATTAATCAAATTTGCTAAAAATTTTTTTATTTTAATATTGAAATTATATAGGTTAAAATAAAAAAAAATTATTAAATTTGATAAAGTAGTTGCCAAGATATACAAGCCTAAAGTCAAGAAAACTTTTATTTAGAAAAAATTTGTTCTTTTTCTATTAACTCATCCCCACATACATATATACTTCTTATAAAAAATAATGCATAAAATTAATAGACAAATATAGATATATAACAGTATAAAAGTATACAAAACTATATAACACAAGATAGTGTATAGAATAACATGTACTAAATATATAAAAAATCACAAATTCTATACAACAATATATATAATAGTATTTTTATATATTTTTTACATAATTTTTCGTATAGTTATATATATAGTTATTTGTTATTTCACATATATGATAAATTTAGTATAATTATTATTATTATTTTTTTGATATTAAGGTGAGGCCTTGCTCATATCTTTATTGATTAATTTATATAAGTAATTACATATCAGCT